CATAGATTTGGGGAGGGAAGAGGATCTTAGTCTTCAGTGTCTAAAATAACATACTGCTACTCTTTTCTCTGCTGTAGTTTAAGAACTATAGCAATAGACACTCAAGTTGCCAGCACAATTGACTATAACAGATGGGACTTGGTAGGATTGAAAATAAACTAAACACAATTTACTCAGAATTTAACGTTCTAATACCTGCTCTTAGCTCTGTAACTTGTTGAAAATTTCCCTTGTAACTCTCATTGTGGTGTTCTCCTATAGTTGCCTTTCAGGGTATCCCCTGTGGAATAGGGGTAATAAAGTATAATGTGCATGCTAATAGCCCACTGATAATCAACCCAGTCAAAGTATTGCTTCACTCTGCTGCTTGAGTTAAGGATGGTAGCATATGAACTAACATTCTGAATCCGATCAGTGGTCAACCTAGTGTAGTATTCTGTGTCTAACAGTAGCCAGAAATAGCTGCTTCAGAGGAAACAGGTAAAAGCCCAACAGAAGGTAACCAAGGAATAAATTGCCACAGGGATAGTTGCAGCCTACCTCCCATTAATTAGAAGTTGGACTTATGCTGTGAGCATCCCCCTTCCCGAAAAAATCACTTACAGATTGAATTTTTATTCCTCCTCCCCTCTTGCTATTGTATCTCTGGCTATCCTCATTCTGGTACAGTTTGTATCTCATAAAAATAGCTGCATTCCAGTCATGCCTTTTCTCTACCTCCTATGTCCTTACATAGTTGAGCATTACCCTTAAACATGTCAGCAGAACTACCAGGGATTGGTTGAATCCCTTTATTTTCTGTGCATTATCAAGATGAATTCAAAATCTCTAGATGCTCTTCCAAATAGTAAACTACCAAACCTACAAGTTGACAGCATGGCATCCATCCTGTGCTTAGGAAAAGGGCAGCTGTGGTTAAAAATAATCCAACCTGCAGCTAAATCCGTTATGAAATCAAGTGTTGCATTTGCGTGGGGCTAAATAGCAATTTTCACAGTTTTCAAGGTAACTACATCTATCACCTCTTTGTGGCCTCCTTGAGGACACCCACCCTCTAGGTGACTGCTAGGACCCTGAGACTTTTCTTGGTTGGAGTCCCGCAACTCTTTATCTAGATCTAGAATGTAATTCCTCTTTCAATTCACAGATTATTTCATCATGCCTGAGTTTTTCATTGAGCACCTGCGGTTCTGCTTGCTCTCTGGGGCAATGACAGTGTCAAAGCAAAGAGTTTGTTCAGATCAAAAGAGTACATATCTTAAAAACCCCTCACATGCTAGTCTTGACTTACCAAATAGTCACCCATATTTCATTTCTCCAAGTCCTTCAGTATTTGGCCCTCTTGGTCAGTGTCACTGATCAGGTGAAAGTGACTTTCCCCCACTACGTTAGGGTGATCACTTTGAGACCCTGACTAATAAAACAGAAAACAGTATAGAGTTAAATTAGCACATGCAACTTCCCCCAGGAGGTAAAGCTACTCTAGACTTGCTACTTGCCTAGGGATTTGCAATAATTACCCCAGTGATTTTTTTTGTTCCAGCAGGCAGCCCTCTAATTCCGCCATGGGATTGTATTCTGAATCCTAGCTCTTAAAGTTACATATAATACTTCTATAAAGTTGATTCAATTGTCTGAAATTTTGCTTTGTATACTGCTATGACAGATGATATAGAGACCTGGGATACCCAGTCAAAGCAGCGCTTCATGTAGGCGTTTCAATGGCCTAACGCACAATAGCACTGATAATGTGTACCCAAGAGCATCGTTTGGATGGGGAAAACGACTTGTGAATTTGTCATTACTTCAATTTAAGACCATTAATACAATCTCCACTAGAAGCAAACTATTGCAGAAAGAGTACTAAACTTGCTTGTATGCATTATTGAACCTGTTTAAAGTGCTATGGCATGATCTCGCTGCTGTTCCTGCAAAATTAATCTGTTGAAGATATTGAGTAAGTTTTAAAATTCGTAGAACATAAGAGCCCACTAAGCTTCTTACAAAGAGGTTCGAAGGAATTGTTTAGGTGAAGTGTTTTGTCTAGATAATATCCTGGCCATCAGTATGTACAATTCTTTTTATTTTTTTTTTATTTATTTATTTATTTATTACTTTGAGAAATGGCATTGGAAATAAGGCACAATAAAAGAGTAGCCAGTGAATTTATGCAGTGTCTGCACTAACTCTTCACCCCCCCTTCCTATTTGTAGATTGCTCGTTCCTCTTCTACATACAGCCTAAATGGATCTGTCAAACATGTCGTTAGTGTTCAGCGCTCCAATTCTGTTGATGGGAGCTCTCAAAGTTCCAGGTCTCGACCTGTGCTCTGTCCTGACTCTCCAACTAGCCGTCCTTCACATGCCAGAGAAGGAAAAACTCTTTCCAGCCCTGAAAGGTTAAATGGCCACTCGTTGGCCAGACCATGTCCCATTCCTGTCATTACTACCACTTGTGATGTAGGAGATGACCGGAGTGGTGTTGAGAACAGTTCCATCGTCAAACCCTGATCTTTAATGGCCACGTTGTATAAAGTGAGCTTCCTAAAGATTCTCCTATGTAGCACAACTACTAAAAGATTAAAGAATCCGTCAAATGTTTCTAACGGGTGCTGGGTTTTCCTTGGTCTGTCTTGGTGCACATCTCAGCTCCCATTAGGCTACTTAATATTTCTTCTGTTGTTAACTAGTTGGGTTTTAAATGGGGAATTTAAATTCTTTGGAAATGGAATTGACATCACTGGTCTCAAGGGTTTTTGGATTTCTTTCCAAGTTTTTTAACCATGTTTGCCCTACGATGGCATTGAAGTGCCTCTTTATATTTACACATTTAATGTAAATATGGGCGAGTCTTCATACTGAAGTCAAAATTTTGACGCATGAAATTCTGGATTCAACATGGAGTCTATTGCCTCTGATTGCAAATATGGAAGAATTCTAGAGTACAACTGTTGAGACTTTCATGAGTCTTAAACAGTGAGTTTTGCAATTATCATCTTCTGCTAAAAACCTTCATAAGAACATGTTTCTCTTCTAGGTCAACAACTAAAGCACAACTATAGTACTATCACTTGTTATCACTTCAAGTGAAATTAAACTTCTGAGGTTGTAAAGAAATTTTTTTAGCTCTTAAAGCAGCTCTTACAACTATTCTTATATTAATTTTAGTTTCAACTTTTGCTTAGCAACAAACTAAGCCTGCGAATCACCTTAAAATCCACTGATGATCAGTGTTGCTGAGACTTGTTCACAACATCAGAATAGCAAGCCTTTTGTCTAGTTTTCAATCATATACAGACATATATAGGCTAAAACTATTCAGTAATAAACTATCAAAATTTAAGTTACACTTTTTGTGGCTTTTTTATACCAAAGTGTCGTCTGTAAGGGTCAAATCAGTAGTTTTTGAGGAATCTTGAAAACTGGTTCTGCTCTTACCATATTTTCAAGTGGCTATGTAGCTAGAGGAAGTTCATCTCAATCTTTCAAGGTTTGCTAATATAGCAAACTGTGTTTATAACATGTTCTGCATTTGAAAACTTGGAAGGAGATACTATGCTGTTGTAAAAGCATGAACTGCACAAGGATGTGGGTTAGATATGTTTGCTTTATTAAGAATTCTTCAGAAGGTCTCCTAGTTCTGTGCATACCTCTCAACAGTTTTGTTATGGGGGAAATCTTCATTTTCTATAATGAACTTATCCATGTGTCTTACCCACCAAGTTTGTTATCCAAAACTTGAAAATGCCAATCCTTAAAATTAGGGGTTAGCAGACTACTTCTATTGAAGAAACTGGACCCACTGTGTCCCCCTTATTTTGGGTCTTGAAATGTTGAGAGGTATGACTACAACACTGAGACTGATACCTTGATCATATTAACAATTTTTTTTTCCCTCCCCTACCAGGGTATCCCTTCTCCTTCCTTGGTCAACCTTCCTTCAATGTTTGCAAAGAGGAGTCATACCTTAAGTCGATCAACAACCCATTTGATATGAAGTAGGCTTAAAATGAACTACTATACTGTAATGACTGACAAGCAACTGGCTGTTCAGATGACCTATTACTGACATTAATGGTACTTTAGTCATTGTCGCTTAGTTACCTAACAGATTGCTAACTTGTAGGGACTCTTTGACTAGTACTGAAGCAGATGACCTGGTCAAGCAAACAAGTGGAAAAACTTGATCTAGGCTTAGAAATAATGTATTCTTTTGAACAATCCATTTCCTCACCGGTGTAATGTAAACACTTTCTTTCAACAAATTGTCTCCTTTATGCAATAAACTGTTTTGGTGTCAAATGCTGAAATTAAGAAGTCTCTTTCTTGAGTCATCCACTGGATGATGTTCTTCAGTTCATCTAGAAGAGGTTGCTTAACTTCATCAATTGGCTCTGTACTCTTAAAAGCTAATGCATGGACCATTGACTAAACTGAAATAGTTTGATATGCCCTTTAAAGTATGACAGTTGGCCTGTTATACAGCTGCTTTTTCTGGGTATTCTAAAAGATCTAGCGTGTTTGTGCATGAATGTACTTGGAGTGGTCTACTGCATATGGTCCTTCATATTTTCTGTGCATCCTTTTCTAATCCAATATATCCAAATCCTATAACTGGCTTAGCCACCAAAAGTCACTTGATCTGATAGTGAATTAAAACTAACACTTTTTGGATGTGGCAGTCCAAGGAAAAACATCACTGTACTTAAATTGTATTTATAGCCTTTGAGTTGAGACTATTTTTAAAACTGTCTCTAGAACCTTGTTTAACTACTTTTTATATATAGTTTATTCGTGCACAGGCTCCTCCCAGTGCAAAGCTGAAATTGTGGACCTGGTTTCAATTTCTAACACTAATATTTTTACTTGCAGGTTTTTGGTGTAGAATTTCCAAAACCTTTTTCTACATCTTTGCTATATTTAGTCTTTTTTTGTATTTTTTTTTCTTTGCAAGCTGTACATTTTAAAATAATCACGTTTTCATTTTGTATTATCCAACGCCGTCTCAGGAATTGTCCAACTGTGTATATTTCTGCACTTAATAACTTTGAACTAATTGCCTGTGTGTCATGTGTGGCATTTCCAACTCTAAGATTCCGTTTAACTGCAAAATGCTACTTTTTCTGTTATATGTAATTAGTGCTGCTTTTGAAGATGTCAGCCTGTTACTTCTGTATTTTTAAGATAGGTTTTTTGCCAATATAAATCATGTAAATAAACTGTTTAAAACAACATTGCTTACTGTTGTACTAAACAGACTTTTCAGAAAAGTCCAATGAGTCTGTCAAGAGCATTACTGCATCAGGAGCTAGTCTAGAAGCTTGTTTAGTGAATCATAGTAATATAGTGGCAGCCCACTAAATAATATACGTATACCCAACAAGGTTCCTGTGAAATTCCTTGTGAGGATTTACTACTGTGGATACTGTTCTATCAGTGTGTTGCATATTTTCTGACAATATGACTATCTTTGGGTTCCTGTGTTTGAAGAAAAAGTAGCTATATCTTCCAAGAGGAAAATCCCTAAAGTACAGAAACATGCTCTGAAAACTAGCTGTAGGATGGATGGATGGAGATTGATTCTTCCTTAGACTGTAATAATATTAACTTTCAGTATATTTCATCATTAGCTAACTGCTGCTTACATTACATTACTGATATCAGAAATATAATACTTGAACTTTCCAGTAAACTGCAAAGTTCCAAACAATGAGCTTTCTCTTGCTAGGTCCTGAGCACTTTTATCCGATTCACTTGAGTCCCTTGTTGTATTGGGCCCTTGTTTTCACTTAAAACTAACACACAGGACAAAGCAGTATAAGGGTGTCATGCTGTCCGGAATGGTTCATCACCATGAGTGCCAACCTCAGGGCAGACTGTCAAAAAACCATGATAGATACCCCAAACTGGTTGCATGTTCTAAAATTAGATTTCACCAAACCAGTAACAAATGTGAACTCCTGAAGCTCTATAATTATCTTACCATGGAGTCCTAGACAGTCCCCTTGGGCACTCCAGTCTGTCTTACCTCCCAGACAAGCAGGACTTAGTGATAAACTAATCTTACCCCAAAGATCTCAAAATATTCAGGTTGATCCCAATCCCAAGAGACCAGTCACTTACCCCATGTTAATTTGTACCGTAGATGTCTCACCGAAGGCAATGCTTGTAGCCAATCCTATAGTAAACTAACTAAGGATTTATTCACTAAGAAAAATAAGAGTTTTTTCCGGTTTAAAGCAGGCAACATATTTAAACAAATGAGTTAGTCCTATGCTTCCAAAAAGTGACAGATGTAACTGTCAGCATTGAATGCCTTTTAAGGCTAAACCAGGTTAACTGGGGAATCTCTCTGCTTTTGTTTCCTCACTCCAGCCCTGTGAAAGTCCAAACAGCAAAGGGGGAGAGAAATTCTAATTCGGCTATTTTTATTTTCTTCTTCCAAAATTCAAGGTGATAGGATGAGCTTTCTTGCACGTAGCACCTTCACGGCTGTAAGAGGACCATCAGCCCAGTCTTTGTATCATGACGTTGCATGATGGCCCATTGAGTCTTGATAGCCCTTGATGAGTGGGGAACCATTCCTCCTGCCTGGGTTCATAAATTCAGAGCAGGCATTTTCACAGCTATAGAACAAAACTTAAGTATTACCTTTATAGCATGAGATTCAGACATTCTAAATAAGATTAATGCATACAGTCATTTTTTATAGAGACTAAATGCATCCTTACGATGCATCTAACGTCTCTCTTGAGTAAGACTAATGTACAGGTGAGCTGGTCTGGTTTCCAGCTATGAATTTGTCAGTGCTCATCTGGTGCCTAAAGCCCTGGTGAGAGCTGGCACCTGGTCTACCATCATCACAAAGGCCAACCAAGAGACAAGGTCACACGATATTTATGTATAGATCTTTCTGGGTGAGAGATTACTAGCTGTGTTCTAATACAATGTCACAAGAATGCCTTGATGGAATTACAGCTTTCTATTGTATAGTTGTAGATCTATTCTGTATGTGGTTATAATAAATGCTGCTATCAACATTGTCAACTATATTTCTCAGCTATGCTGACATGAGTCTTAGACTTTTATGTGAGAAGCCCCAAACTGACTAATCCAATAGGGTTCCAGTGTACCAATGGAAATAAAGCAAAGGCATGCTGACTAGCTCAGTTAGTTCTGCCATTCCCACAACCAAAATATATGTATAATGTTCAGGAACCCCCCCCCCCGGCCTTGTTTTCTTTAGCAAGTCTTTTACATTTGTGAAGGCAAGAGTCAAAGTAAAATAAATTGGATACTCTAGGTTCAAACCTCAAATGGAGCTGGATTAAAGCTCCCCCCCCCCCCCTTTCAAGGCTTAACTAATCTTCCACCAGAACAAACCAAAACTCTGCCACTCTTTGTACACTCTACTTGGCCCTCTTGTAACTGCAGTCTGTCAAGACCTATCCTTCTGGATCAGCATGGTCCATTATTCTGTAATTTGGCCATGGAATCTACCCCACTGCCTGTAGAATTACTCCCTACCCATAGAGTGCAGACTTACTTTTTTTTTTTTTTTTTAAACCTCACTCTAGCAGTGTCTGGATAACAGTAGGGCTGTCAATTAATTGCAGTTAACTCACCCAATTTAAAAACAAAATTGAGATTTAAAAAAATGAATTGCTGTTTTAATTGCACTTCTAAAGAATAGAATACCAATTGAAATTTATTAAATATTATTTGATGTTTTCTACATTTTCATATATATATTGTATTCTGTGTTATATACTTTCATTTCAATTACATTTTGATTAAATATTTGCACTGTAAAAATAAAAGAAATAGTATTTATCAATTCTTCTTATATAAGTACTGTAGTAAAATCTTTGTCGTAACAGTGCAACTTACAAATATAGATTTTTAGTATTTTTTTTGGTTACATAACTGTTTAGAGCTGGCCCAAGGGTTGAAGTGAAGGTAAAAAGCTGCTAGGAAACTGAAAGGACTGCTGTAAACAGCCTAAGTGGGGTTTTTGTGGTCTGAAGTGTAAAACCTAGGAGTAGAGGCTCATCTTTCCTTTATTGGTGGCTTGTCTTGTTTGCTCTTTTCTTTCCTTTAGTTTTCTACTCCATAATTTGGCACAAATGGGTAGCAAGCCTATTGCACCTCAGGCCATGTTTCTCAGGCTTTAGCATGACTAGTCTGCAGTGGATCTCTCCTTGTTCATTTCATGCTCTGTCTGCTAATTCCTAATACTGAAGATTTCCTCTCTTCCCCCAACCAGTTGGATTCTCCTGTCTAGCTTCTGCTGTGAAGCAGACTCGCTGATACTTCAGGAAAGTGCTTTAGGCAGTATCTGTAGCTGATAATGGACACCTAGTGTACTAATAGATCATAAACAGGACACTTTCTTTTTCCTTCTGCCTGGTCTTGACTTCTTTGCTTGCCTGTCTGAATTTGGCTGGGGAAGAGCTTACAAGTTGCAAACTTTGTGTGGTGGGAGAGGGGAGGGGAATTTGAGAACATTCTGCTTGTAATGTTTGAGTCCATCATTCAAAAAAGGTTAAGGAACAAAGCTGATGTACCTTGCAGTTCATGTACTCCTCTTCAAATATGACTAACATGGCTTAGAAATTAATGCTTAAGAGAGGTTCTTTTAGACTATTTTCAACACTAGTTTTGGGCTGCAACAATAACATCAAATCCAGCAATTGAACAGAGACATTTTAATATCTCTTTCCTGGCCAGACCGTGTAGAGCCTTATCTTTCAGATACAGATCTTGCTAGTTTTGTCCATACCTTTTTCTTCAGGGTTAGACTACTGCTATGCATTCTACCTAAGAGGTTGCATTTTAAATTGCTTTGGAGGTTTGAATTGGAGCAGAAGGTGCCTACTTTCTTGTTTTTAAATGGGGCATTCTATAGAGAGCACAGAGCAGGTGTGTGTAAAAGGTAGCTGTAATCAACCATTTTGTGCAGTGAACACTTGATGTTGTAAGTCCTTAACTGAAGATAAAATTCAACAGACTTTCTGTCAAGTGTGGGAGGGAAGCTTGTTTCTGAAAACTCCAAATTTAAGAACTAGGAATTAA